CATATATACCGGTGATTTATCAATGTGATAAATTATATATTACCAGGATAATACCGTAGTTGTGATAAAACATAAACGATACGAATGCGCATTTATTTATAACTATCGGCTAACTATTTATATCTATCTACTGCTTTAACAGGAAATACCCAAATCGGTATAATCAACTTTAGAAAAGACCATGGAATACAGTAGTCTATAAATGCTCATGTCTATTGGTCCATATACTATACAGAATTGCATAATGCATAATAAAACATAATGTTGCATTATGTGATGTTAGATCCTGCAAATGCCAGAATTAGGCCAGACTAGTGTACAAAAATATGCATGATGTGCATGGTACATGATTTATATATGATTGAAATTCATTTCAATTCATTTTATAAGTGCATGCATAGCATGATGTCCATTTCTAGGCCTATGCCCGTGCCTATAAATATAAAATTGCACTAAAGAATTAACTAGTGTCTGGCATTTTACGTCCATACAAGTTTACAGACCCTGCTAATAGAACTCATGAAGATATAACTAATATTATACCATATAAAGACTTATACGTTTAATAAATATATGTATAATATATATTTATTTAGTATACATTTTTTTTTTTTAATGACCAAAAATTATTATCCTGAAACATGCTTTGGATGTACAAGTGTCTTTTTTATACAACTTCTAAAACTTATTGTAACTGTGAAAAGTGAAAGATATATTTCTCGAAATTTTATGGTTTTTTCAGTAATAGACAAATTAATTTTGTAGAATCATGTAATAATTCTTATAAGATTGAATTTGGTGCAACATTCAAATTTTCTTCTTGTTCATCATGAATAGTAAATTTTATCTGGCTAAAAAATAAACAAAATTTAATAATACACAATCAAATTCTTTACAATGAATATGCAAATTATATTCAGACAAAGATATTAATCAAATATGTTACAAAATAATTGATTTCTTTTTTTTTTTTTGATCTGCAAATTTCACATAATTTTGCAAGCCAAATAAATCCTTATAGCAGTTTGCAAAAAGGGGTGACCCTGTGATTTCGTGATGATGATAGCGGAAAAATTTCCGGGATTTTAATTTCTTATTAATCATAACTTTTTCAATCAATAACGTCTATATTTTATTCGAAAGCTTTAAAATTCTCCAAGAATCGAAAAATCTACTAGAATTGGCTGAATTCTCATGGTCTTACATGACATTATGATCTGCAGTTTTGCAAACTGCCATAATTATCATTCTCAATAAAATGCAGGAATCAAGAATCTAGAATCCTTAACCTACATATAAATAATATACCCAAAAACAAAAAGGATGTTCTATAGAATAGATGGGCAAACTCCGCAACTCTGCTAAATATATATTAATGATTATTTTTTATATTACCACCTATTCTGTAGAACATCCAACAAAAATAATAATTCTTTAATTATCATTCTCAATAAAATGCAGGATCTAAATTTTTTAACCTGCATATAAATAATACGCCAAAAACAAAATAATCTATATAGAGTAATTTAAGTTTTTGGGCTTCTGCACCACAACAGTACATACGAGCAGTATAGAGGATATTTTCGATGTGTTATTGTCTCTATATGACTGCCATCAAAGAAAAACCTAAAATCAGACTTTCAAGTATATTTTGTGTGCCGTCTATGGTAAGATGGTAGATTTACCATAAACGGCACAAATATATTTGAAAGTCTGATTGCTTTGACGGCATATATATTTATCCTGTAAGTACAAAAAATAATATATAAACGCGCTTTGCAATTAATTTTGACTTTAAATTTTTATTTTGATAAAAAATGATTAAAATAATCAATATACCAGTATTGCTTACAATCATAACAATATTTTTATGTTTTTTGTTTTTCAGTATACTTTACTACATATATAAGAGTGCAATTAAAGCATTTTTATCTTTTCTATCAATATCATGTATTTTAGAATTTGTTTTTTATACCATTTTATTTTTCACTTGGGTAATTCCTTATGTTGATGTTCATAAAATAGAACAAGAAAAAAATCATGTATTTTATTTTCCAACGTATAATGAAAGTGCAAAAAAATTTGAATATAAAGAGAATTCAGAAATTCAATCTAAAACTTCTCATATGACCATCATCGATCAAATTTCAGAGTTTGGTGCTCTTGCAGGATTATTTTTTAACGTGGCTGTTTATAGTGTAACTTCTAAACTCAATTTTAAAAATACTTGCATTGTTGATGATTTTTTAATTCTCAATGTCTTCTTGTACCTATTTTTTCTTGGTTCTTTTCTGCTAAAATTGTTTTTGATTTTTTTTATGATCATAATAACCCATCTTTCTATCTTAAACTTTTTTTATCACTTTTCGTATATATGTTTTTACTTACCACTTTATTTGTATGCTATTTAGTATGCAATTTTCATCATATAGACCTATTTCCTTTTTCCTTCTTCAAAAAACTACAAAAATATTTAAAAAACAATAACAACCAAGGTTCGCAAAACAATGGTTCACAAAATGAAGAGCAAAAAGATTTAAAA